GTGAATAAATGAGTGCTTTATGTGGTTAATTTCTTCATTTATGTAGTCAGTTGAACAGAGTCTTGTGGCTGTGTTTATGTCTGGTGTGATTCACTTACGATTGTGGTCTTCTTTCTTCTGAGGATCCGTGTTCCTTTTGTCAAAGTGCACTCAGGCTAATTCAATTACTTTAAAATTTCGCGTTGACCGAATAAACTTATATTTTACTATTTCCTTTTCCACTGCTGCTTCCCGCTCGTCTCGCGCTATTTACATCTTTATTACATAGTCGTCTGGCCACTTTCTATATTCTCGACACCAATTAGTTATTAACACAACCTTCTACAATCGTCTGCTTTTATCTCTTATTATAACAAAACTTAAAAATAAGAAAATATTCACTCACAAATATAAATTAATCACTGATATTTAAACCAAACAGTCTTTTATATCTTGACACAAATTCTATAGAGTCCCTAAACCATATAATATGGAATCGTTACCCCAAGGACACCTTTGTCGGTGCAAAACGTATAAGATGGGCTGCTGCTGCCAGTACTTTCAATGATGGAATGCAGTCAAGGAAGAACGTACCTGCTTAACATCAGTGACAGAAGTTTCACCAACAAATTCTTTGTTAATGCAGACAAGAAGTTATCTGAAGCACAAAGGAAAGGAGTAAAACAGCAACAAATAAGAAGAAATGTCAAAAAGGAATTTGAGGACTCCAAGAAACCAGGAGGGTGAAACTCGTGCTCCAGAATATTAATACCCAGAAACATATAAAGGGTGAAAGTTTCACAATTTACAGGATATAGTATACCTTTTTCAACTATACAAATACCCTTAAAATGAAAATTTTGCACCAGATTTTCAAACACATTTGTCTCAAAATCAGAATATTGTCATTCTCATAGTGGTACACAACTCATAACTTCAGATCTGTTGATGCTATTGACTCCACAATTAGCACAAATATATATTATTAGTGTATTTATAGTGTGTACTAAGGTAATGTTGATAAGAGGTTTGTTTTTTATTAAATGACCATTAATGAGTCACTGTTGCACATGTCCTACTTTGGCCATACTCATTAGTGCCATAATTTGACCTAGAATTAATTTTCATAGTTTTCCTTAGTTCGGACTAATTCTACACATTCCATCAAAGTCTGGACCAATTTTCAGGTGCATTCAGTCTTGTTTGTAGAAGTTATCGGGAACATAAGACATTTATTTTGTATTACTATATTTTTATAATATGCAAATTAGCCACAGTGGTAATGTTACACAATATGTGCTAGAATATATCTTTGTAGCTATTTCAGTATATTTCCATACAAAAAGCATAGTATGAAGATATTTTTTCTGATAAAAAGTCTAAAACCTAGATACTATGTAAAGGATATATGTTATCTTAACTAAGAAAAGGTGCTATCTTAGTCATTTTTGTGCAATCTTTTAAATACTTGAAATTTCAAAGTACTACACATTTTTGACAGGTGAAACTTCTCTCAGTTACAGAAAAATTGTTGATAAGTTGTAATCATACATATTATTAAATCACTTTGAAGCTTGGGCCTAATATACATTTTTAACCATTGATGACTGCCATGCACAAAATAATACCACACCCAATCAAGGCAGATTTTAGTATGCAAAAAATATTTTAAGGACTTTTATGGAGATTTGTTTTAGTGATTTTCATGCAATTTACTAGCAGAAAAAAAAAAGACAAGGGTCCTAATATCCTTTATGGAGTTCAGCCAGTCCAATTTATGTCACTGTTATTTAAGTTTGGGTAGAAACATTTGTTCAAATGCTAATCATTCAAAAGAACCCATCCTTCTATATTTCTCCACTTGTTGATAGTCAAGGTGAGACTTCTCCTTAAACATAGTTGATACTCTTTAAACTTCTCACGAAAAAAAAGCAATTTAGTTAAATCGTAGACCAATCAATTCTTTATTATAATACGAGGAAAATACATTGCATATCCAAGTAACAAGTTTCAGCCTACAAAAGCGTTACACTATAAAATAGAAATGTATCATTATAAAGTATGAAAGTAACCTATATGAACATCATATCAAAATTATAGCTCATCACTATCAACACTACACGTTAACAATAGAATGATCAGAATTTCCCACATCATTACACTTTTAGCAACCTTAACTTTGTTCAACATTATTAATTTAACTCAAAAACATTTCACAACTATTTAAGTAATACATCAAAACTTACAAAATAGAAATGTTAGCAATGATGGTTGAAGTTGGTTAAAATGGAATGTTCTACACTCTGAGGAAGATCGTTTTAGATACTTGGCACTACTGGAGAATTGAAAGTTACATTAGAATGTTGAAACTAAAATTTGACTTCAAGGAAAATGTCTTTCAGACAATCAATATGCACATTTCCACCATTCTACAGAATGTAATAACCACAACTAGAATTGTCTTTTAGTGACAAAGAAATGTGTTCAGGAAAAAATTGGACAAAAACAAGACGTAGTTTAAAGTCTAATTTGAGTTTCTTAAAAGTATGGTGAATCTTCAGAAAAACAAACTAGAAAAAGTATGAGAGGTGGTTTAAAGTCTTAACTTTAAAACCACCTATTTAGTTCGGTTACTATATCAAAATGACAAGAGTCAAGTAACTACCATGAGAAAATGTATTTAAAAAGAGTGACCAATTCAGTATGGAATTGAAGGGACAACTTGTAAACGACCATCTTTTTGTTCAGCCTATTTACTGTAGTTAAGTTACTGGGATAAGTTCCTAGCTTTATCTATGTCAGCATGTTATTTAAATGTTTATCTTGTTTAGTAGCTTTTTCATGAAAGAATTTGGTCCCCATTTGAAATGTAGCTCTATAAATTCTACATGTTAATCCTTTCAGTACTGGTAAAGTCAGTTGTGTTTATGGTTTGTTGTAATGACAAAGAAACAAAAATTAATGATTAAATAACAGGAGAAACTTGCTGAAAATTTTTAGTTTGTATGTGTATAATGGTGCAAACAATAATTAATTTGGTATATTTCATGACTAAAAAATATATCATGTAAAAGTCAACAGATGGCAATAAATGCAGCAAGACACATTGTATTCTTTAAATAGCAATGGGTATTTAACACTAAACTATTTTCAATCCCTTCTGCCCTTAAAACAAAACAAAAACTTTAAAACTTAATTACAATAAATTTAGCTAATGAGTATAATATTATTAATACTGAAATGTAAGACATGAAATGGAACAATTTGGAGTAAGTTAACACCGATAACTTCGTATATTAAATAACTCCATGTGTGGGAGACCATAAAATGCAGTCACAGTCTTCCAAATTATATCCACTTCAGAAGGAAATTAATTATAGTTAGCAATTCACATAAATCTATCTTTAGAAAAATGTAATTTGATAAAATATAAAGGATCTTGTATCATATAAATGTAATAATTTATCAGTTAAAGAGTCCACAACCACTTAACAATTCTAGCATGTTGACAATTAACATTATAAAGAATTGTCATGAAGGCACTATTAGTTTCATAATAAAGTACTTTCACATTATGCTGTAAGCTAAGAAGTAAGTAATAGTACATCTTATTAAAGAAGACAGAGAACCTGAAGTCTACAGAAATTAGACAGCTAGGAATCATTACAGTTAGAAAAACTCTTAACTCACAAAGGATAACGAAATAAACATCTAAAAGAACACAAAATGTATTAATTTAAGTGTTTCTAAAAATCCAAATAGTTGTGATGCTTGTTTTTAATTAACCTTAAATCACTTCCACATGTAAATTCCTTTATTGGCTAAGGGAACAAAAGTTTAATGAACCAGAGCCCTAGGTCGGGGAGGATCCAAGCAACTATCCCAGTCAGGCCAGTAACGTTCCTTCATACGAAAACAGTAGTCTTTCAAGTTGGAAAACTCTTCTATAGCAAAACAAAATCATATTCATAATTTACAAGTTACATACAAAATAGTAACATTTTACTAGTACTGAGAAACTATGATATTAAAGTTTCACAAATAATTATGACTAGGTTGAAACTGGTTGGCACTAAGCTTAATTCATATTAGTGAGATCCTTTATTAAAATATGTAGTATCTGTATATAAAGATATAAGTTTATACATTAACAACCTTCAATGAGTCTTGCCAAACATTGGCACCTCTAAAGTTAATTTTTTTTTTGGTATATTAATTATTATGTTGGCTAAACTGTAGTTTTAGGAATAAGAGAAGTTTTTAACACACTTTCATACTGCAGGTTTTTCTATACCACAAGAAGTATGAAATGACATGTACATACGAACTGTATACAACTTAGTACTATTCGTACAAGTTATGTCCAAGTATTCATTTAATCTAGTCACGATGCAGGCATTAAATATAATCTTTCACAAAAAAGTTCTTCAACCATTTTTGGACAGAATTGTCACCTGTGATGTAAAATGGATTCTCTATACTAATATTAAACACCAAAAACAATGGCTCAGTTCTAAACAAAAACCATTTCCGACCCCAAAACCTGGACTCCATCCACAGAAAGTGATGCTTTGCATTTGGTGGGACATCAAAGGAGTAATTCATTTGGAACTCCTCAATCCACAGTGAACTGTCAATGTGGAAATCTATATTCAGCAACTGGAGTGTTGAGATCAAGCTTTTCATCAGAAACACCCTTCACTCGTCAATCAGAAAGGTGTTCTTCTCCACAACAATGCACGTCCACATGTGGCACATTTGACGCAACACAAGATTATGGAGTTCGGTTGGGAAGTTCTCCACCCACCCACCATATTTTCCAGATATGGCACCATCAGATTACCATCTTTTTCATTCACTGTGACACAATCTTAATGGGAAAACGTATGCAAATGTGAAATGTGTTAAAGAGAACAGACATTTTTTTTGCTTCAAATCCAAGTGATTTCTTTAAGCAGGGCATGTACAACCTGATTGTAAGATGGAAAAGCATCATTGATAAGAATGGAGACTATTTCGTTTAATAAATGTTTTGTTTTGATATACAAGTTGTTCAGGTTTTTTTCATAAAAAACAACATTAATTTCTTGATGACCTAATATAATACGTTACTTTTCTATCATCCTATTCCTGTTATTAAATCTCATGTTATTTCATTCCTGTATTTATTACGAGAGTTTAAAGTGCAGATTTGGGCAACCAGATGCAGGAGATACCACAACCATTGTGAAAAATGTTTGCCTGCATCTAAGGGCTGGTCACTTTAGACTTAGTAAAGATTTCTCCAAATCCTGCATCTTATAGATCATTGGGAATGGCCTGGATCTCAAGTTTTAAAAACAGTGCAACTCCTAGCTATGTGCCCACGTCACCACGGAAGTTTACCTGTACTCCAAGCAGTCGGACAGGAGAGAAGGGCTGCGGCAGGCCAGCCTCACTACTGGAGACTTCAAGTTTGGTGCAGTGTTCTTTTAGTGTTGTGTGTGATTACGAATCTGGTTTCTGTGCCTTTCTTTGGATATGGACCAAAAGCACAACAGTGACTCTAGATTATGATAACGATCACACATTCAATATATGTGCAAGTGTCAAGTGTTTTTCTCTTTGAGTTTCTCCCATCTCATTAAAGAAGGATAATGGAAGACTTAAGTAACATCAGCCTTAAAGACTCAGATAAACATTTTTTATAGTAAAGAATTGCAGCACCCTGGCCTTCCATCTCATGGAATGGATATCCAAAGTGCATAAAAATGAAAAACTGACTTAGATATATCTGTATTATGTGTAACTTACTACCCTGCAAATAGAAAGGGAAATAATGTTAAAAGTACTTTATTACAGGGTTTTGTATGTATCTGGGGGTACCACATTTCTGTCGTTTTTCCTGTGCAGAGATAGGAGGGAGATGTCTTTTAATGTGGATCTCCGGCAAGCACACAGCGTGTATTAATTAATTAGCTCTGTGCATAGGGTACTGTTATTGACTGTTTGCTAATATACGGTCCTTAAAAAAAAAAGGGTGTTTGCAATGTTCGGAGCATCGTTTTTAACTTTTCTTTCATCCAACGTATCAACTTATGTAATTAAATGAGAAACAGACAAATTGCTTAACTGATGATATTTCATTCTATGGTGAATAATGTTTAGTGTCGAAAGAAAAACGGAAAAATTTAGGGTCATGATTTTAAGCATACTTACAATTCAGAAGATTTTTGTTGAGAATAAAGTGGTCTGGGTGGCAATATTTCTAACTTTTCAGCAATCAATTTTCCCGTGATCAGGAAATTTGACAATTTCTATCGATTCTAATTACCAAACCACTTATCAGCAAAACACTACATAATATAAAATAATAACTTTAAATGAACATGAAATAATGATTTAAAAACAGGAATAATAATGCAATTCTTATGATGGTCTCTGATACATTTTCCACATCTATTTAGTTATTTAATTTCACCAGGCATAGCAAGAAAGGCCACCCATGGGCTGCCATCATTCCTGTGGTTAAGGAGGAGCTAACACCTAACACTTGTTGCCTCTTTGACCTACTGCTGCCTGTACCCGCCAACTCTGCTGAGGTAGAGAGAGGATTCAGCAAGATGAAGATGATTAAGATCAATTTATGATCTTGTCTGGGAGCTGACAAGATCAATGATCAGCTTCAGGACATGTTCCACTTGCCTTCAATAAGTGATTCTGATCCCATAAGAGCTATCCATATTTAGAACTCAGGATCCCTTTGCACAAGTAGACTAAATGCTGACAGGTTCCAGATTGAAAAGCAGGAGAGTGATGAAGAAGGGGATAAAGGAAGAATCCATGAAATGGATGTTGGTACATGATCGGACACTAATGCATAGTAGATTTCCTTTCATTATTATATTTTGATTAACAAAGGACACCAATTTAAGTTTAACTCAACACCACTTAAGCCATTTTAGAGATATTTGCATGTTTTCCATATGTTGCTAATTTGAGGATTTTGCTTACTACAAATTCATGAACAACTAATTAACAGCTGTTTCAGAATATGAAAGAACTGATTGCTATAAAGTTAGCGGTAATGTAAACTGTATAATTTTTCTATCTCTCCATAAAGAGTGTTTGACACTAGTGTCAGCTAGATGATAATGGGTTATATGGGAACAATAATAGATTACACTAGCAGTGATGCTTAGATTTTCTTTCATTATTTATTTTGATTACTAAAGGACACTACTTTAAAGGGGAACAAAACATTACTGTTATACCATTAAACAGAAATTAAAGATCATATGTGAAATAAAAATTATTTAACTGATCTGAAAAAAATGAAATGGTTTGACGAGTTCACAACAAAATAAATTGAAATATGTTGATATCTTTAGTTTCCTTTCAATTTACAAAACACCTGCTACTTAATTTAGTGATTTTTCTAGTAACCTGTACTATAGAGTACATTTTACAATGAGCTGTATGATTGGCCCCTAAAATCTGCTTGCAGGCCCCTAAAAATGCATGTTTTGGGGGCCCAGCTGGCTCCCTAAAAAAAGTTAAGCATAAGCTCTGCAAGATATTAAATAAAACAGACAGAATTCTGTAGTCTTATAGAGAGATATACTACTATTATTTCTGCAAAAGTTAGCTGCCATCATAAAGAATATATTTTGAAAAGCAAATACTCAAAAACAGAACACAGAATAACGTACAAGTTATACATCATACTCCAGTTAGTTCAAATTTGAAAAGATCAACTCCTTTTGCTCCTGACTGGAATGTAACCTGTATTTATACTACTATATATATATTCTACAGTTAGCTTAACTTGGAAGAACAAACATCTAGCCATCTCCAGACTGGAATGTAACCTGTATTTATACTACTATATATATTCTACAATTAGCTTAACTTGGAAGAACAAACATCTAGCCATCTCCAGACTGGAATGTAACCTGTATTTATACTACTATACATATTCTACAATTAGCTTAACTTGGAAGAACAAACATCTAGCCATCTCCAGACTGGAATGTAACCTGTATTTTTACTACTATACATATT